AAATCCATCTCATTGATTCAGGCTTCCCACATATTCTGGGATACAGAGAAGCTGTCTGAGTAGTTTAAAGGCTGCACTGGGCTAAGTAACAGCTAGCTTCCCAAACCTTCAATCCACTTGACTCACGAGTGCCATGACTTCGTTTCATTATGCATCACAACAACAATAATTATCATCATCACCGTGACCACAATAACTCCAATTTATTAAGCCCCTACCACGTGTCAAGCACAGTGCAAAATATTTTATTAGCATGGTCTCTCTTAACACTCATAGCAACTCCATGAGGCGGATACTATCATTATCCTCACTTCAAGAAACTGAAATTAGGGAGGTAATGCTCAAGGTCATGAACTTGTAAGTAGTGGACTCATTTGAGCCCAGACTTATCTAAGTGCAAATCCCATACTCTTTCCACTGAAGGCTCTTGCTTTATTCTCCTGTCCAAGATTTCCTATAGCAATAACAATCAGGGGCTTGCTGGGGATTTAGCTCAGTAGTGCAGTGTCTGTCTGGCAAGTGTGAGGTCCTGAGTTCAATTCCCGGTACAAAAAAACAAAAAAAAAAAAAACAGGGGCTAGGTGTAGTTCAGTAGTAGAGCACTTACCTAGTGTGCACAAGGCCCTAAGTTCAATGCTATAAAATCATAATTCTCAATGCTATAAAAATCATAATCATAATCATTAGATAAAAAGATGAAACCTGAAAAGTATTAGGACTTCTGGTACCAGGCAAGACAGAAAATCTACTACATCACTCTCCTTATTCTCAAGAAATAGCTAAGAACTATGAACAAAATATAAAAATAACTTCCTGAAAATAAAAAAAGCAGGTAGATAGGGAATAGGTGTCAAATTCATAGTAGCAAATCATACAAGGCCAGGCTTCCAAGTTTCCCTCCCTTGCCCTTGGGCCCCATCATAGAACTATGCAAAGGCAGCACAAGCAGCCAACAGTTTTCCTGGCCAGGATCCCTGGGGGAAAGGTCCCTGAAGTCTCAAAATGTGGGAAGAATCCCTGCTTTCTTTTTATGCTTTTCCTTTGGCTTCTTTGCCCTCAAAGCAGGTCCTCATGATAAAGCTAAGCTGCAGCACCTTGGATATAAGTGAGAAACTACATAAAACTCCATACTTCCTGCCAGGAAGAGTACTCATGAGCTGACCATATAAGAAAAGAATTGCCTAATTCTCCAGCCAACTTTGTACCTCTCCCAGGGCTAAATCTCAGCTTTATACATGCAGGAAAGACCCAAATAAAAGTCACTGAGACCTGAATTATCATTCAGACCCCAACTCGACTCTTGAATTGACCCTTATGTAGCACAAATATGGGACACCCAAAACCCCCTGGCAGAAGTTTACAAACTAGAATTTCATTGGAAAAACTACACATAGAAAAGGATACAGAACTTGCATTGTGAACCCAGCAGGGCCTGCTGAAACAAGATCAACATTATTCAGAGATTTTGATAAGATCTAGAGTCTTATGAAGTGGTATTTTAAATGTTCAGTATAAAATCCAAAATTACTCGGTATACAAAGAAGATGTTGGAATTATGAAAGATGCTAAAACAATTATCATTAACATGGTCCAAGAGATAAATGAATGGCAAAATAAGTTTTCAGTAGGAAAATAGAACCTGTAAAATAACCCAATTTTGAAGTTGATAAATATATAATATCTGAAATAAAAGGCTCACTAGCTGAGCCCAACAGCAGAATGGACACCATAGATGGATAGAAATTACCTGTCCAAAGAAAGAGATCAAAGAATACAAAGTGTTAACCAAGCCATGAAGAATTGTGAGACATACCACAAGGTGCAAGATTTATGTCACTGCAGTCCCAGAAGAAGAAAAGCTGTCAGTGTTTTTTGGTTTTTTTTTAAACATTTAAATGAATGATAGCCAAAATTTCACAAATTAAATGAAAAACATAAATTTAAAAACTAAAGAAACTTAGTAAATTCCAAGAAGGTAAACTCAAAATAATATCCAGGCTCATTATGATAAAACTGCTAAGTATCAAAGAAAAATATTGGAAAATCTTGAGTGTCTAGGGAAAAAATAATACGTTACTTCCAGAGGCACAATAATGCAAATAGCTATTCAGAAACCATGCAAGCCAGGCAAAGAACTTTAGAGTCCTAACGGAAAAGAACTTTCAACCCAAAATGTTATATGCATTGAAAATAGCTTAACGGAATGAAGATTATAAGACATCACAGGACAAAGGAAATTCTTTAGGCTAACAGGAAATAATGCTAAAGTGAAAGTGGAGACTTAAACAACAAAAAGCAACAGAAATGCCAAACATCTGGGGAAAGAGAATACCACTTTTTCCTTCTTAATTTTTTTAAGTATAACTGTTGAAAGGAAAAAAATTACATTGTCTAGAAGGGTTTTCAACATATATAGATATAATAAATATGATACTGGTAAATGGGAAGAAATATACATGACTGCCTATATTTTAGCCAGGCATGGTGGTACACACTTATAATCCCAGCATTCAAGAGGCTGAGGCAGGAGGATTGCTGTGAGTTCAAGGCCAGCCTGGGCTACGAAGTGAGTTGAAGGCAGCTTGAACTACATAGCAAGACACTGTCCCAAAAAGATAAAAAAAAAAAAATGACTCCTATATTTTACCTGAAGTAGTAGTATAGCAAAGCTGAATAGACTAAGTTTAGGTATAAAGATAAATTTTTATAATAAATGACATATTCTCACTAATCCCCCTCAAAACACTACCTTCACTGTGAACACACATCTCATTGTTCTTACCACTTGCTGAAGGAGTTCTTGAAGTCTTCTTTTTATTAGTATATGTTTGTAGTATGGAGTGATTACATTTGTCATGGAGAGTACATAATAGTTTAATTATTTTTACTTCCCCTCCCCTCATCTTTTGATTCCCTTCCCATTTGCAAAAGATCTGTTTCCTTGTTCCCTATTCTCTAGCTTTCATTTTGCTCCTTAAATTATTTATATTTAGGATTTCTAATATAAAAGAAACCATATTTATGTTTGTGTGTCTGGCCTGTTTCTTTTAATATTATTGTCTCAAAGTGTGGTCCTACAAATGACTCAAATATATCCTTCTGTACAGCAAGGTGTAGTATTTCATTGTGGATAAATATCACATTTTCTATATCCCTTCATTTGTTAATGGGTATATAAACTGCTTCCAAGATTTAGCTGTTAGTGATGGAGACATAGCTCCGTGGTAGAGCATCTGCCAGACATGCACAAGGCACTAGATTCAATTTCCACTGCCAGGAAAATAAACAGAATTTGACCTGCCAAGATTTAGTAACTATGAGTTGTGCTGCTATAAACATGGATCACTGTAAGATGAAGCCTTTAACTCTGTTGGGAAGGTACTAGAAGTTCTCTCTGTGAGTGTCTTTAGTTGTGATGTTGTAGCTGCCTCAAGGTCCTGAATTGATTCTAAATTTTTACCTTTGTGGTCTTTTTACCTTAGGGGAGAGCCAGAAGCTTCACGGTGCCAGATCTGGGGACTAGAAAGGGTACGACACATCCTTAACGGTTTCTGAGCCTCTGGATTGCACTGGGCTGCAGCTTTCCCTGCAGTTTTGATCACACCTTGTACCATCACAAAAGAGGACTCCTGGTGCTGCCTCAGTGGCAAGAATGATGGGATAAGTGTGTTCAAAGTAAGGGGAGGATTTGGGGGAGAATTAATGGCTATATGTCTTTTATTGTAACTAATTTTTAAAAAGCATACACCATAAATTTTAATCATCTGCCTGTATTTTATACTCCCTAGAGAAAATATTAATATAATATATATTCATACATGCATGCATGCATGCATACATCACAAAGACTTAACCAAAAAGCCAATCAATAGATTAAAATGGAATATTAAATGGATCTACACATACAAAGAAGACAGGGAAGGAAGAACAAAACTTTGAGAGAACTAACACAAAATGAATAATAAAATAGCAGCCTATTGGTTGAACTAAATTAAAGTACAAAGATTGTCATATTGGCTTCTTTTTAAAGACCCAACTAGATACAGTCTATAAGAAACCCACTTTACATATATAGATGTAAGTTAGTTAAACGCAAAAGAATATTAAAAGATACATCACAAAACCACGACTCAAAAAAAAGTAACATAGCTAGGTTAACACTAGAGTAGACATAATGACAGAGGGGACACTTATTACCAGATGCTGTATGAAGAAGAGGATTACAAGACAAAGAGAGGCTCAATCGGTCACCAAGAAGACACTCCAATCTTGTCACCAAGAAGACAATCCAACAGTGTATGCTCTTAGATCCTTAAAATACTTGAACCAAAAAATAGTGTAATGGATAAATGTACAAGAATAGTGTTCAAGATTTCACTCTCAGCAATTAACAGAACAGGTACACAGAAAACTGGTAAAGAAACAGTGAGTCTGAATTAACACACCCAACCAGCTCACTCCGATGGATATTCACAAGCACACCATGCAACAACAGCAGAACAGACACTCCTGTCCGTGCTCATAGAACATTGACCACAATAGTGGGCAGGCTAAATGTTATCAGATTTAAAGGAATTACACAAATCATGAAGGATACTCTACCACCCTCTGGCTGAATTAGTATTTCTACAGGAAAAATAGGGCAGAATTTCGTAAGGGTTTCATTAGCATGTGTCTGGTGTTGAGCGGAGCAGTTCACTCTCTGTTGTATATATCTGTGTTTTAGTTATTTACAAGGTCCGTTTCATTGTGAGGAACTACTACTGGAAGTTTTCTATTCCCTCTGTTTGACAGATAAAGACATGCTTTCCCTTAAGATGAACCCAAACCTCTTGGTTTCCCTTTGGCTAATAATACACTAGACCATCAGAACCTCTATAATTCCATTAAAACCCAGCAAACCATGGTCCTCCTGTGAGATACTGAAGATACCCACCCCCGTGAACTGATTTTTCCATTACTACTATGGGGAGGGATGTTTACTTAAATTTTCCTCTCACCTGAATTATGTAGAAGTTCGCTCACATGTCAGCAGGATGAACACAGCACTCCATGTCAACAATCCAGGTGGAAATCAGAACTCCATCGCCAGCTGTGTGACCCGAGGCAGCTTACTTTCTTCTCTGAGCCTGCATGTCTCCATCTGTGAAATGATTTGACAGGGACCCAAAAACATACACACTTACTGATGTTACCATTTCTTCACCTTTTTCCATCTACTCAGGAAAATTGTATCTTTGTGTGCTTGGGCTCCCTGCTTCTGTCTCCACTGGATCTTTCCCTCAGATGTTCTATGCAGATCACAGTAATATTTCTATTTACAATGAAGGAGACGTGAGCTACTGGGTTAGAAGAAGGAAGAAGAGGAAGAAGAGAAGGAGAAGAAGAGGACGAGGAAGAGAGACAGAGGAGGAAAGAGAGGAACCGCAGTAGGAAGGGGTTTAGAGAGATTTTCTTAAATCTATGCCAGCTTGGCTTGAGAGATTTGGGGTGAGGGTTTGGACTGAGAAAATAAAAAGCTGGGTGAGTGATAGAGGAGTGGATGGATGATAGACATATGATCGGCAGACAGTTTGGTAGAAGAAATAAGAAGAGAAAGAGAGGAGAAGAGATGGGGGATTTGCTCTATTCCACGGACATCCTGTCTTTGGGGAGTGTTTAGGAGACAGAGGAAAAGTTCAGGTTATTTTGCAGTGGCAGATTGCTGGTTTTCAGTGAGGAATGGCACCTAAAGAGGACACTGAGTGACCCTGGTTTTATAGGGCCACACGGGGATAACCGGGGAGCTCTCACTGGATGGACAAGACCTTAGGTAAGATCATAGGTACAAATTACAACTGTTTTCTTCTTGAATTTCCTTCACATGGATCTCAGCGCAGATCAGTTTACCAAGGTGGTGAGCACCAAATGGCTTGGAAACGGGGAACTGCAGCATGGATCTCCTCGTTCTCCTTTTAGGCAGCTGGTGCCACTGTTTGCTTTGGTTACACAAGTATTCTAAGCCTCATTTTCTCTTAGGACACCCTCTCTTCATTTCTCTGCCTCTCTTACTAGATTTTGAACATTTTGAGCAAGGTTTGCCAGTTACCCATCCTCATCCTGTGACCCCCCCAATAATATTTCTTCCCCCTAATCTCACAGAGAATCTGAAATGTGACATGCAAATACTTTGAAATATTATGAGACAAAAAGAGTCTCTCTCCCTCTCTCTTTCTCTCTCTCTCTCTCCTTTACAAAAGTTTAATTTACAACCCTGAGAAAAAGGAAGGAAAGGAGCATCTCTAATCTGAGAAAGCATGTAATTAACTGCTTTTCTGCCACCAGGAAGAATGAGAGCCCAAGAGAGAATTTAATTGAAATTATAAACAAAGAAAGATGCTTTTTTCTTAAGAAAATCTTAAGTTTGAACCCCAAACTTCACACTCAATACAAATGTTTGTTTCATGAATGAATGTTGGACACGGGGTTTTGCTGCCACAAGACCTTGGTGGAGCAGCCTTGGCTGCTCTCCAAGGAAGGCAATAATTACCAAAAAGAGATCTGCTTTCTAGTCCTTACTTGGTCACTTAGTATCTGTGGTTCTTTGTGTTTTTGTATCTGTGTAATGAAGATAATGATACCTGCTCTGCCCTTCTTATAATGCTATCAGAAGGATTAAATGAGATAATATATGGAAAGGAACTTTATCTGTGTTTAAATTAAGGGTGTGGGAAGCACCTCTCTTGTGGTCTGTGAACTCAAGGAGCAGAGTTCTAGAGTACTCCTTTACCAAACTCTTTCCCAGGACCAATAAGGAACTCTGGAAGGGGTCCCTGGCATCCCGTGGGAGACTAGCAAAGGTCACACGCTTTGTTTCAGGAGAGCAACTTCGGCAAGCAGGACTCCCCAGGACACAGAACAAACTTGATTTCATTGTGAAACAGTCTGCCATGCGACAACAAATTAAGCTCCGGGTGAGTCCTCCTGTAAAACATGTCCTGCGCTGAACACTGCAATTAAGAGGCGGGTAGACAAGGGGAGGAATCACTTAAAACTCTGACACATCAGTGCAGTCCGAAGACCTGTTCCACAGGTTTCCCTGCGGGAAATAATCGTGTTACTTTAGACATTGGAAGCTGATCGAGGCAAGATTTCAGAGACAAGTCCTGAGGTTTACAAGGCAGGCTTTGGCTTTTCTAAATCGTTTCTGAGGAGCTACTTAAAAGGATTACAGCTCTGGAGTCCCCATCAGCACGGCGGCACCATGGTGGAGCAAGATGGGTTATCCTCCCACGGGCCTGCTCCGGAAAACTGTAAGTCCCCCCAACTCACGCTGAAAGACATGGTGCCCACGCTGCACTATGGGGTGGATGCCCATTTTGATGCAAATGTTAAGGAAGTAAAAACAAAAACAAAAACAAAAAAAACCTGCGGGTATTGAAACAAGTTCTTGTTTCTCAAATCAGGCTCTAGTACAAAAAGTATGGCTCTTCAGAACTCTTTTGGAAAAAGAAGTTCTAAAATTTCAAGAAAAACCTCACTAAAAGTGGGCGAGAGGGTTAATGCTGGCGTAGGGAGGGTCTTAGCCCAGCTTAAGCTACACCTGTGCCCCAGGAGGTGGGAATGTTAATCAGGAGAACTTGGGCTTGGGGGCTAATTCAGACATCTGTGTAGACCATATTTCAATCTTGTGGCCTAAAATAAATTCTGTCTCTCAACCTGAATGAAGAGAAGATATTTTGAGGTTCAGACAGTGTATTTCCAGAAGTGTTGCCTACAAACCAGCTTCTGTGGAAATAAAGAACCAAACAGGACTGAAGGAAGTCAAGCGTCAGCAGTGACCATGGTGGAGTAAGGCTTGTGATGCCATCTGCCTGTCCGGAAATGGTTTGCAGGACTCAGCTCACTCCCAGATTTGCATACTAATCCAGAAGCAAAGAACTAGAGAGAAAAGACAACATGGGGGTGGAGAAGAAAGGCTAAGTTTTCAGGACAGTTCTCCCAGAAAAAAGCGAGACAGAGAAAGGAAAGGAACCCAGAGAGGGCAGGCAAGATGAGACCTGCCCACTCCTGAGCTTGGCTTCTGGAGGGAACAGGATGTGCTGTCACGGGGCAGGAATTCCTTCATTTAGGAGCATCCAAGTGTTCAGCAATTCTGGTCATGACATCTGCCAGCAGTAGCTTTTCATTTTAAATATAAAATGTTCAGAAGTGGGTTGGAAACCCTGTGTTCAAGCAAGGATACTGCATATTATAACTTCTCCCAAAAAATTTCTTTTTAATTCTTTTCTTAAGTTGCTTTATTCTTTCTTTCTTGTACTGCGGATGAAACCCAGGTCTCATGCATGCTAAGCAAGCTCTTTCTACCACTGAGCTACACTCCCCATCTTTAGGCTGGGTCTTTAAATTCTAGTTCTCCTCTATTGCTTGGAAAAATTTATATTTTTAAAGGATAATATGTGCTTGTTAATGCTTTCTTCATATTTGTGGAACAAGAGTCATTGGGAGAAACTCAGAATATACAAGGACCTGCTAGTCCTACGGGGAACCTTGGTGTCAAGCCCAGTCTCTGCCCTGCATCCTGCCCTTCCTCCGACTCACTCCCCTTCAAATGCACGCTCCAACCTTAGGACACTTCCACACCTGAGCTCATATGGGGGGCAAAAGCTCTCACCACTTAAAGCAAACAAAAACATTAAATATCACTAAAATATTCAATAAAATATTTGACAAAGGGTTAGAATTCAGCTTCCTAGATCATCATAATGAGTTAGTCAAATGTAAACCAAAATAGAAGCCAGGCATGTGGATAACTAGCTCTATCGCCATGGTCTCCCTTTCTCTTTGCTCAGAGGAATTGGTCAGGACAGCTAGGCCTCATCTACTTCCTGTCCTTACTCCACTGATCTCCCAAATTCCGAAGCCTTACCACATAAGCCACATGTTCCTTAGGAGCAGAACTGCATATAACCTCAGTAGGGTCAACCCCACAGGAACTTCTGAGTGTCACCTTTGTGCACCCCTGTGCCAAGTGCTGGCAATCACATATGCATCCGACACACAATCCCTGCCCTTGAGTATGTATACTAGCTATTACAATTAAAGGCATTTACAATTGTACTGTGATAGAGAGATTTTTTTCTTTTCTTTTATTTCGTAGTACTGGGGATTGAGCCTTCCGAGCTATGTTCCCAGCCCTTTGTGTTTTTTATTTTGAGCTAGGGCCTCACTCAGTCACTAAGTTACCTAGGCTGGGCTTGACCTTGTGATCCTCCTGCCTCAACCTCCCAGAGTACTAGGATTATTAAATTTTCATGAATGTAGTGTTTTAGTGGAACACAAAATGGAAGAAAGAAAAATAGTTTGGCGATTCCTTCAAACACTTAACACAAAATTACCACATAAGCCAACAAATTTGTGCACACATATAGTTTACTCAAAAGAACAGAAAATAGATAAACACATGCACCACTCACAATAGCCAAAAGGCAGAAACATCCCAACTGTCCATCAAAGAATGAATGGATAAACAAATTGACATATATCTGTGCGGGGGAATGAATGTTACTCAGCCAGGGAAGGGAATGAAGTTCTGATATGAGCTACCTACCACACAGATGAACCCTGTAAACTTACACCAGGTGAAGAAAGCCAGATATAGAAGGTTCCACATTGTATCATTCCATTTACACGATACCCAGAACATGCAAATCAGTGAAGACAGAATGCAGACTGGTGGCTGCTAGGGCAAGAGGAATGAGGTGGTTTCTGAAAATGTTCAGTGTTGTAAATGTGCTATATACCACTACTCTGGATCTGTGCTTTAAATAGGACACTTTGAGTGGAGGACTGACGACAGTTGGAAGATTTCTGGACTCATGAAAACAACACGTGGAATCTGCTGCCCCAGGGAGAGGTCTTTGAGGCTATACCAGATATAAAACACCTGCTGGTCGTGTTTCAGTCCTTAAAAATACCTTCTGTTAAAGTCAAACTCAGTGATACCAACTGGGTGCAAAACATGAGCCACCCCTCTTTTAAATCAATTTTTAAAAGAGCATAAGCCCATCTCTTTTTCACATCCTACCAGCTTTGGCATCTAGCAAACTTTTTAAGGTAAAATTAACCTACTTCCTCTTCCTGTGAAGATTACTCATG